CCCGCCCCGCCATTATTAGCCCTCATCTGCTTCTTCACCGTACTCTCACCCGTCTCACCCCACCCGTCCCATAACTCCGACCCTGACCCGCTCTCCGTCCAGCCATTCCGAGTCAACTCTTCGCCGCCGGCGACCATCCCCGCCTTCCCGGAGCAATCCGACTTCTCCGGGTGCCCTCTCGATCTCCCCGACGAGCTCCTCCACAGCATCGCCTCTTCCTGCGGCGGCGGAGGACGGCGGCAGCTCAGCCGCGGTCGCTGCTGCCCGGTGCTGGGCGCGTGGCTCTACGCGGCGTACTCCGCCACCGCCCTCGGCCGAGGAACCGCCGGACGCAACGTCTCCTCCGCCGATGACTTGCCGGTGCTTCCCGACGACTCGGAGACGTGCGTGGATGGGCTCGGGAAGGCGATGCGGCGGAGAGGGATCGAGCTGGCGAGGCCGAACGAGACGTGCGACGTCGTTTCGTGCTACTGCGGCATCAGGCTGCATCCGCTGAGCTGTCCCGAGGCTTTCGAGGTGAACGAGGAAGGGAAGCTCGTCGGAAACGATCATGTCGAGAGATTGGAGAAGGATTGTCTGAGCAGCGACGACAATGTGGATGAGTTCCCTGGTCTCGGTGGCTGCAACAAGTGCCTGAACAGCCTCTACAAGGTAACACATCGACACGCAATCACTTATATTCCTCGCATTTCTTTGAAAAGTTTGCAAATTTACAAATTTTCGGCCATAATCTAGGAGATCTTCTGTAACCCTTTTGTGTTCATGGTGTTTTAGCTTATGGGATTTGTTTAGATTTACGGTTAGAATCTCTTGCTTGGGAAATGAGGAAGGGATCGGCTGGTATTAGCCAGGTTCTTTAGTAAGTAATTGGAAAATTTTCTGTCTGCAAATTTCCTATTTTCCGATTAAAATTCTGGAAAAATTTTGCCACTCTTTAGTGTTTTTGGTGTTTTAGCATCTGGGTTGTGTTTGGATTTGAGGTTAGAACCTGTTGTCGGAGGGACGAGCCAGAGAGATTCGACTTGAATTATCCAAGTCTCTTCCGAAAGTTCTGCAAATCTACAGTTTTGTAGACCGAAATTCAGAAAATCATGGCGACCCTTTACGGTTCTGTATGTTTTAGCATTAGGGTTTTGTTTGGATTTACTGTTCGAATCCGATATCGGATGAACAGGGAAGAGAGACCGATTGGATTACCTGATACCTAGGGTTCTTTCTCTTTCACCATCCATGGCGGATGTGATTTGGGAAAGTTTTGTTCTCTTGCTTTTTGTCCTTTTCTAAACGAATACCCACGCGCTCACATAGGACGTGAGCTCCACGCACCGTCTCTCTCCTCATATCTGTAGAGATATGGAAGCGTAGGTTTATTTTTTTTTGACATTTTGTTATATACCATCAGAAATATTAGATTTCTGCTCGCTAATCATAATTAAATCGATCGTTGAAGAAAACAAATGCTCAACAACCCACCACGACAAAAGCTAAGGCACTAGTAGTTGCTCTCATCCCAAAATCATTTTTAGACAGAACCTAACCAATCTAACGACGCTTGCCCTGTCGTGTCTCATCTCATCTCCTCTCTGCAGCTGAACCCTAAAAAGGAACCTTCGAGCGCAAGCAACCCGTCGAAGGAAGACGAAACCCGAACGGCCAAAATGCACAACAAAGACTGCGAGCTGATGGGTCTGACCTGGCTTCTGGCCAAGAACCGCAAGGCCTACATCGGCACTGTCACCTCCGTCCTCCGAGCCATCATGCTCAACGGCGGCTCGGACACCTCCGCTGGGCCACGCTCATGCGCTCTTTCCAGCGACGGCATGCCCTTGGCGGTGGACTCGTCTGAATTCTCGGACCACTCATCCACCGCGGCATTTCCACTCCATGTGCTCTTCTTCTTCTCGCTCTCTGCCGTCTTATTAAGCTGTGGACATCTCCTCTGATGTCGTTTGGGTCGAGAGGGGATCTTGAGGCCATGTTGGGTCTCTGGTATTGAGAGAGAGTGAGAGAGTAAGTGTTTTGAGCTGTTTCTGTCTGCATGTAAATTGGTCTTCTGATGTAACATTCAATCAAAAGTTAGCCCATTTTGTTAGTTCTTCTTTCTGTGATGAAGATGCAAAAACATTGCAAAAAAAAAAAAAATCCAATTTTTACATTGGATTCGGTTTGATTATAATTACATCTTATTCGATTCAGTTCGATAATTCAATTAAAATAGTAAAAATGGCCGCAAGGAGGAGAATGGTGGATGGGGGATGGTGATGTGAGGGCATGTCATGTGGGCAATGGGGACGAGAGTGTTTTGTCTGAGGCAGACATCCAATTAAGGGGAGGATGCGACGACGCTTGCCACTGACAGCTCCTGTCTTCCATGTCTCTTTCTGAGCTTTCACGAGAAACCCTAATGGTGAATTAACTCAACACGACGGCCCAATCACGTGAGTTCGTTTAAGAAACGCAAATACAATTTTTACCGGTGTAATAAAAAAATTATTATAATATTCATCATTTCATCATATATGCAGAGAGTAGATTGACCATTTCGGTTATTAACCGAATCGAATCGAAGTGAATAAGATATAATCGTACTGAATCGAACCCATATCAAAATCGAAGGGTTATGATTTCTTTAAATCCGTAAAAACCGAAACGGAACCGAACCAAACCGAATAAAAAATAATCGAAAAAATCGAGAATTTTTCTTTTAAAAAGTAAATTTTTTATTGAAATCGAATCGAATCGAATGAACAGAAGTTTATATAAAAAATCGAATAGTTATAACTTTTTTATAACCGAAATAACCGAACCGAACCCAAATCAGAATCCGAAATGAGCACACCTAGAAGGGAGTACGGGGCTTCATCGTTCCAAAAAATATACCAATATCTCATGGGCCTCATTTGCACTTGTCAGCCCATTTTATTCGCATCCAATCGCATAGGTCCAATTGCAATTTTCAAAGCCATTTTAAAAAATAAAAAAATAGCATATATCTGATGTATTAGCAAGTAGAAACTGTATTATATATTCATAATAACCTTGAAAAATGCACATTTGTTACGTAACATAAGAAAATATATGAAAAAGAAATACGAGTGGTTGGGTTTTATTATGCTATATACACTAAATCAATACTCATTAAGAAGATAAAATAAAGAAAGTTTGTAAATAGACCTTTTTTTTTTTTTAATAAAATGTGCATCTATTGACCAAAAAATTACGGTTTGTAGTTTACAAAACCGTTCTGAAACTGGTTAGCAAAATAAAACTTTAATGTTTATTGTTTTCCTAGCAAAAAAAAATATCAAGGAGGTATTGTGATATAGAACAAATCTTGTAGTAGCAGATTTTCACGAGATTGCATACTCGAATGCGAAGATAAGAAAATGTTCCGAATAAGTCGATCCAGTTTTTGAATGAAAACTGGCAGTTGGGTGCTCTGTGCGCGGAAAATCCTGCTATTTCTTTCCTGCCAAACAAGATAAATCAATGTCTGTAGTGTTATTCTCTCTACTGCAGCTCGTTGTCGTGTTCGATCAGTCGCAGCCTCCTCAATCCAACGAGAAATCTGATGTAACAAAAGTGGGGTATTACACCAAATCTTCTCTGCAAAGTGGCGTCATATACTGGAGCTAAATTGACATTGAATGAATAGGTGGTTGTGCGTCTCGCCGTCCGAATAACACAGCAGACAGATGGTCTCTTGCTGCAGTCCCCAACGGTCTAACCGATCTCGTGTCGGTAATCTTCTGCCACTGGATAACAGCATGTCTCGATGTTGTTTACTTAAATCCAACTGCGTTCACCCACAGAACTTCGACTGATGGTGAGGTGAACGTAGGAGCTTCAGTTTGCCGAGGAGATGAATTTTCTAGCGAATAGATCTTGTCCTTGCTTCCATTGCAATTTTCCAGACCCATTATCCGGTGTTAGAATAGATTTCGTGGTTAAGATTTTTTGGATTCTTTGTGTCGTGTTTGATCGTGTCGGCGGTAGCTTCCAGCCTTCTCCATTCGTTGCTTCCCTGACCATCGCGTGGAGAGGGATTCGTAGTTCTCTCGGTCCAAGTTTCCCTGCAAAAACAATCAAAGGTCCAAGCTCTGTCCAAGAATCGAACCAGAAGTAGGTGGTGGCTCCATCATCTATTTTATTCTTTAAGAAAAGTCTGACTTGCTCCCGTAGTTCAATTAGCTTCCGTAGGTTCAGGTATGTCGTGGCGAGGGGTTGATCGACCAGTAGAATTGCCGCTTGAAAATGTTGGTTTTTTTATTGCTCGGGCCTTCGGCTCGACTACATCCACCATAGGGCTGAGACCAACCTTTGTATATGGATCATTTTAGTCCAGAAATTACATATCTTCCCACCAGTGGAATCGAACCTATGGCCTTCAAGATGATTTTGTCACCTCTCAACTACTGGGCTACCGACGGTTGGGTTATTACATTTATCTTGAATTTAATGATCACCATTAAGGATGAACGCTTCTTAGAAACCGAACCGGATCCAATGAAAAATATATATCATTTTTAAACCGAATCGTCCAAATTTTTTGGACGATAATTTTTTAAAAAACCGAATTTTTTAGAATCGTTTCGAACCAAATTGAACTGAATTTTTTAAGAACCCGAAAAATCGATTTTTTTAAATAAATCTAAATTTTTTAACAAAAACTGAAACAGAATCAAAAATAAAATTAAATTAAACCAAATATAAAATAATAACCGTATTCCTTTCATGTTCAAATGGGCAAAGAAACAGAAATGGGAATTCCATTTCATCTGTGGATTAAAATATTGTTAAAAAAAAAAAGAATATTACGGAATGAATATTTTTTTCAAAACGAAGAAAAAGAAAACATAAGAGAAAAAGAAAAATCTGGGAACGTAAAAGGGGCGCACTTCTTCTTCCATTCAGCCGGTCCACGTCCTCGTCTTCTTCAAGCTCCAGGATCGTCTTCTCGTTTGACTAAGCTTATCTCTCGAACCAAACACCTCCTCATCCTCCATGCCAGCCCTCTCCGAGACCTACGCCTGTGTTCCCTCGACGGAGCGTGGCCGCGGAATTCTCATCTCCGGCGACCCCAAATCCGACTCCGTCCTCTACACCAATGGCAGATCCGTCGTCATCCTCGACCTCAATAACCCTCTCAACGTCTCCATCTATGGAGAACACGCTTATCCCGCCACCGTCGCCCGTTATTCTCCCAACGGCGAGTGGATCCCC